TACTACTACTACTACTACTGGTAGTATAGGATACCCCTGCAAAACCGAAAAAATAAATCCCCGTTACATTACCCGGACACGGACCCCAAGCAATGCGAACCTGTAGTTAACCTGCTATACAGAACCCATAACCCCAGAACCCTGGAAGCTCTAAGCCCTAAAACCCTGAACCCTGAACCCTAAACCTTGAACCCCGAACCCTAAACCTTGGCCCTTGAACCCTAAAACTTGAAGCCTAAACCCTGAACCCTTAACTTTGAACCCTGAACCCATAACCCCAAACCCAGAACCCCTAACCCTCAACCCTACGCCCCAAACCCAGAACCCCCAAAGCCCCAGAACCCTCGAAGCTTCCCCTGGAAGCCCTGGTCCAGGGACGCTGCGCTACGAAGCGGCTCTGCTGCAATGGGCCTTGCCGCAGGTCTTCGGGTGAGGGGCGGGTAGTATGGACTTGGCCATGGTGGCACACACACGGTACCCTTCTCCTTAAGTGACTACTTACTCGTGGTCTATATATATATATATATATATATTAATATTAATATTAATATTAATATTAATATTAATATTAATCTCAATATTAATCTCAATATTAATACTATATTTATATAGATGACAACTCTACCCCTCACAACACGCACAACCACATGGGACCCTTAAGCCCAAACCTTGTGAACACAGCCCCAAAGCCCAAGAACCGAGATCTCGTGTGGTCCGAGGCTTGCTGAAGTTCGCCAGGACGGTCAGGGCTTGGTCTTCACGTTATATGAAACCTTCATATTTTCCCATGTTTCAAGGAATTGCGTTTGGGGTTCAGGGTCGACTAGTCAAGCATGATTCTTTTGTGCTTTTGGTTATGGCCTAGAGCCTTTCCGAGTCTTGAGATTGTGGATGTGGGTGCTTTTTCAAGGTTTGCGGTATAGTGCTGTTTGCGGGGATGAACTGCGTCTAAGTCTAACTGCGTCTTCTCGTCCGCGGCGCTTCGGAACAGAACCCGTAAGAGCAGGGCCTGGTGAATGGACATTATGCGAGAAACCATTGAAGGTCTTCAAACCCAACGCATCGAACCGCTTCAGGTGCTAAAAAATAGAAACTGCAAACAGAGCCCAAACCTCAAGCCCCACACCATTCTGTCAGTTGGTCGGTGAGATTGTGGAGAACGGCAGAGCTGCAGACATGGCTGCCGACGAGGCGTGGTGGCGTTGGGGCGGTTTTGGGGCTTGGGTCTCTTTATGGCTTTCAGCAAAGCACACCTGCGCTGATGCTGATCCATCATAGCAGACAGGATGCATGTTGACTTTCGGATCATTCAGTAAGCTCCAATCTTCGGGTGATGTCCCTATTGAATTCAAGCCCTCCTCAACTCCACCAACGTCAGAATCTCCACAGCATCATCTAGATAACAATCCATAGACAGACCTGCAGACCTTTCGGATTTCAATAGCACCCTGAGATGACCTCAATCAGGCCGCCAAATCTCTATTAAGCCTTACTCGCCTATAAACCGAACAATTTACAACCCGTGTAGAATTCTTAGCCCTAGAGCCTTCGCCCGGCCTTCCTGAAAGGAGACACTTCGGTCACAGCGCGAAGAGGAGTTGCAGGAACGTGTGTTTACGGCTGATACGGCTTATTCGGTCTACAGGGTTTAGGTGTTTTTGTTTTGGCTCGGAGTGTGTTGCTGGGTTCAGGGCTCCGCGGCTTAGGGATTTTAGCTTTTCGGCGGTGTCGGATGAGTCGGATTCGGGTCGTTTACCCCTTTAAATTATGTGTGAGGGCCTTTTGTAGAGACTGGTTGAGTTGTGCTGCAGCCAGCATCCGCAACCCTAGCATCCTGAGGAGTTCAGGGTTCAATGCGAGAGTTTAGGAAGCGAGAGACATCACACAGACGTCAGAAGCCGCGAAGCCTATACCCCTCATCGTAAGATTAGAAAGTGTAGAGGTGCTGTTCGGGCATTTACAAGTTGTGTTTGTTGTGCCTATTCCCTGGACCATGGATCCAGGTGCAGTGCGAGCCGACAGCGAGAGCCATGGCTCTGTGATAGTCTATACAGTCTATGATTGGTCCGTCAACCCCGTCGGATAGTACCCAAGCCCGACGCTGACTAAATTCCTACACCTTCAGACTAAACCAAACATCCCCTCCAATCCCCCACCGATTAGTATAATGTACGGAACCATGAAGGTTACACTCTACCTGACAGATGCTATCTGGCAGATGTTCCTTCACGCATCAACCGTTAGGCCTCCTCGTCGGTATAAAATCTCCAAACGTGTCCGCCGCCAGCCTCTCCGGACGAAGACCCATCTGCTTGCGAAGCTTTATGGCGATGAGGTGCGCTTGGCATGTGCTAGCGGGCCTACTTAGAAGCTCTTAGTTAGTTATCTTAGTTTCTATTCTGCCATTGTTGATCCGACGACCTGCTGCCATAATGTTTATAACGGTTTCAACGAGTTATTTAGATTGCGTAGTAATAAGGTCATACTTTTCTGACTATGTTGGGGTATGGGGCTGCAGCCGCCGCGTTTAGGGTTTAGGGACTATGGTCCCCAGACCTTGAAGGATCGGATACCCAAGCCCACCAGGCATGGCACCCTCGGCATGCGAATATAGAGGTCTGAACAACAAGGATTCCCTTATGCGGTCCCCAAATATATATCTACACTGTGAGACAAAACAAAGCCATTCTAAGTCATTAGGGGCCCTTCTATTCTCTATTCAACCGTACAAAACCGTCATAGACAGAATGACTTTTGTAAACAACTGGACGTGGTTGTGTGCTTTCTCTAGTCAGGGAGCCGATCGCGATGAGATCCTGGAGGAAGTGTACACACCAGAGGCCGGGAAGTCAGGGTTCAGTCATTGGGATTTTTCAGGGGATGACGGTTTCGGGGTTTGGGGCTCAGGGGTTATAGGGTTACGGTCGTTGAAGACAAATTAGGCTTTAGGGCGCTTAGGTTTAGGAGGTTGCGGTTTGGGGCTGAATGCCTAGCCTGGCCTAGCAGAGAGGACTCGAACTGCTGCCATGGGATACATATTTGTTCGGCGTGGCTGCTCGCTGTGATTGGCCGTTTTAAACCCCTCAAACTCGTAGCCCCAAGAAAGAAAGTCAGGCTGTGTAGAGGATCTTAGCATTGGCCATGGAGCTTCCCTCAACCCTAACCCCAAACCCTAGCACATCGGAGTCTCGTGATTAACCAATCTTTTTCTCCCGACCGAAGCCACAGTTTGAAACATGCCTGCCACTTCTGAAGTTTGTCCTGTCCAGGGGCTTCGATTCGTTGGGCAAAGGGTGTGGCGCGAACTGTTATGGGTGTCAGTTTGCCAGGGTTAGGCCTTACGTGAAAGTTTAGGACTTGATCTGCAAGGTTCCAAACTCAGACCCCAAACCCTAGACCCTATAAACCCTAAACCCTCAACCCTATAAGCCCTAAACAATGAATGTAGCCTCCTCGGCTCTCCCGAAAGTCCGAAAGTCCACATCTTCTCCTCCCCATCGGCAACCTGACCGACCAAAGCCCAGAACCATAAAAACCCAAACATACTATTAATATAGGGGCCTAACGAATTACCCATGCTACCCCTATATCCTTTATCCTGATAAGTGCCTTTCCCGTTTAGAAAGTGGAATGCTTTCTGATAGAACCCTGTGGGAAACGTTGTAGAACCCTCCCCCTGAACCCTAAACCCTAAACCCTGTAGAACCCTTTCCAAGGAGGTTGCAGGAATGAAGCAGGAGGACAAGGAGTCCGTCCCGAAGAGGCTTCTCTGGCGGCAATAGGGTTTATCAGGGTAAGGGTTTAGGGTTTAAGGGTTTAGGGTTTAAAATAAAGTTCTGGGCTGGGAAGGTTGGAGAATTCCTTGTTTTGGTGGCTCCTTGCAGTCAGGATCCTACGTTTTATGATGAGTTCAGCCCCTGGTAGTTGGAAACTCCAACCCCAAGCTACATAACTACCGTTTAGGCGTTTAGGGCTTAGGGCTCCGAGAGACTTTGCACTTCCTGGTTGTGATATGCGGTGTCATAGAGTTTAGGACTCTGGCGGCTGCAGAGTTGGTAAGGAGCTAGCGATTAGGTTTACAGGGTTTAGGCTTCAGGGTGTAGCTAGGGCTCCCCAGTGCAGGGCCTTATTCGATTTCGGTCTCGCTTTGGTCCAAGCAGAGACAGAAGCCCCCGAATGCATTTCAGAATTTCAGACCTTAAAACCCTATGAAGCCCCAAAACCCTAAACCCTAAACCCTAAACTCAAATTTACTGCATCATGCCCGAGCACTCCAGAAGATGCACTGCGGCTGAGGTGGCTCTCTGAGCATGGTGCTTTAGCGAAGAAGCTTGGCGATCATCCTTCTATGTGTCTGTTTTTTTTGAGATGTGGTGTTTCGGATATGGGGTTATCTTGAGGTTTGAGGGCTGTTGGGTTCGGGTGTTTTCGGATGTTGGAGGTGTAGGTTTGTCCTGGGCTCACGCTTCAGCCCGCTATAGTTTGGTCATATTAAAGTTGCTGCAGGGTTGTGTCCCGCTGTAGTCCCCCTAGCCCATCTCTCTGTCACTACCTACCAATTAAGTCATTAAGCCTGCTCATGTAGGCGATATTTCTTGGTTGTCTGGCGAAGGTCGCAAGCTTTGTCTTGCAACCGATGGGCAACATCTTCATCATACGTTGTGTGTACAGGGTTTTACAGGCAGTATACAAGGGTACTTCCATAGCTGCATATAGGTTTTCGATCAAGTTTAGAAGGGCTCTCTCTCTCTCTATATATATATATATACGTATATATATATGTATATATATACACACATGTTTTTCTGTCTCATGCAGGTCTTTGGACATAAGACCTCTACTACGCCCTTTCCTAACTACGGTGCGGCACATAGGATCCTGCATTGGGGTCCATGGCAATGCCCGTAGTTAGATGCCTCTAACTGGTTTTGCAAGTCGTACTCACAGGGAACAATTATGTGTGTCGTTGTTCTTTGTCACTACTACCAGTATTGTCTTTGTATCTGCGTGTCGAGAAGGTGGCGACGAGGATGACGATGGTGATGATGGTGGTGAAGGTGATGCTGCTGCTGCTGCTGATGATGATGATGATGGGCATGATGGGCATGATGAGCATGATGGCGATGGTGATGATTTGTTATGATCTCGCTTTTCATTTCTCTCTCGCCCTCTCTCTCTCTCTCTCTGTCTCCCCGTCTCCATCCCTCCCTCAACTTCCGTCTCCCTCCCTCTCCCTTCCGCCCCTTGATTGTCTCTCTCTCTCTCTCTCTCTCTCGTGTGTGTGTGTGTTGTGTTGCGGGTGCCGCTGTCAAGGACCGTCAGCCAGAACCTCAGGGCCAGCGCTGGCCTTCCCGAGCCGCACAAAGCGATCAACGACCTGAAGCAGAGCGAGACGGAGGCCAGGTCCTTTCATCGCTACTGACATCATGTGCACGACTGCGACTATGATGAAGAAGAAGATGATGATGTTGATGATGGTGATGATGATGGTGGTGGTGGGAATGAGATCATCGCACTTTTCACTGCGCCGATTATCGCGGTGGCTACCTAAATATGCGCAAGGGCCTTTGTATGCGGGTTGCATGTAGGAATATACACAGGATCGCGCCAACTAGGTAGTATAGCCCAGAATACAAGTGACTTACCAGGCTCCATGATCCTTCATTTGGCAACCCAAACTCTTTGCAACAAAATCATGCTTATGCGTTTGCAGCAACACCTCATAAACCCCGTACAGAGAACGCTATCAAAGGCCCTTTATCATAAGACCCCAGTGCAGCACTCCTTGCGATGATTATCATAGAACCCAAAAGCCCTTAAACAAAAGGATCCTACCAGGTTCAGCATGCTTTGGGCATCATGTCCAGACCCGAATCTCTATCTCCGACATCCTTCGATTCCCAAGCACCACATCCCCAAAAAAAGCCGACAAGTCTAAACCCTGAAACCGACATCCTGACCCTGAAACCCAGAGTCCGGAGAACCAGAATTAAAAAAACTCCGAGTTTAGAAGGGAAAAATCCATCAGGTGGAGGAGCAGGCAGCGCGCATCGCCCAGAACGCCACGGAGTCCAGGGATGCTCTCTTTGCCCTGCAGCGCCCTGGCAAGGGATCGTGTCGTTGGGGTTTACGATTTGAAGGTGCAGGATAATCCCCGAACCCCAAGTTAACTAGCCCCAAAGCCTGAACCCTTGACCCACCTAAAAACCCCGAAATCTCTGAACCCGACACCCTAAAAGCTCTAAGCCCTAAAACCCCAAAAGCCCTAAGCGCTATAAGCCGTAGCTCTGACTTGATGCGTGGATTCAAGTGGCTCTATAGGACTCAAAAATTGCCTTCAGTCGGTTTCATTATGTTGTGAGGGTTTAGGGCTGATAGGGTTTAGGGTTTGGGGTTTAGGGCTTAGGGCTTAGGGTTTAGAGGGTGGTTTCCGAAACCCTATAAGCCCCAAACAAGAATTCGAATGGCTCATCCGCACCGCTCAGGACCTACGAAGAGAACCTCGTGGACAAGAAACGCCAGGTAGGCGTCGTCAGGAGTGGTTCGAGGGCTGAGGGCGCATTTTTTGAAGCATCATGGGACATTGTAATAAGTCGGGCTTATTAGTATGGTATATATTTATATATATATATATATATCAATAAATCAATAAACAAATAAATAGGTAAACAAACAAATAGATAAATAGATAAATAAATAAATAAATATATATATATATATATATATCCGTATGGGGCTATCTTGCTCATAACCCTGCTTCCCTAGATGCTTGAGGTTCTGAATCCTGGGGTTGCCGGTATGAGGGGGGAGGTCACCGAGGCTCTGGGGTGCTTATTTGCCGGAGAATGTGAGGAAAATGCCGGGGCCTTGCGCCCCAAGGGTTTAGGGTTTAGGGTTTAGGGTGCAGGGAGCAAGCTTATTGTGTTGAGGTAGAGGGGGTTCAAGGTTGATCAGGCTGCGAAAGCTTTGATTGTAGAACTGCTACAGCCGAGAGCCTGCATCGCCGATCGCGATCGAAGTTTCTTTGCAGTACCCTTTATGCTTCTGCTTCTTCTTGTGCTTGATACCAGTATTGCATCGGTATCTTGGCACAGTAGCAGTGACTTCCGCAGTGATTCCTTTGATCAAACTCCAAGGCCCCAAATCCAAAGCCTTGACCCAAAGGGTCCAAAGTAAATGCTCATCCGGTCCTTGGGCTTGCAACGGTAGTAGCTGTAGATTAGCATCTTTGGTGAGTTTATGAGTCCCCGGAACATGGACCCTTTGTGAGCTAAAAGCCCGAAACCACAAACTCCTAAACCCCCAAAAAACCTTAAAGCCCTAAACCCTTAAAGCCCTAAACCCCTAAACCCTTGAACCCCTAAACCCCTAAACCCTCAAAGCCCTAAACCCTTAAAGCCCTAAACCCTTCAACCCTCAAAGCCTTAAACCCCTAAACCCCTAAACCCCCCTTCAACCATTAAAGCCCGAAAGCCATGCTTGGTGCCCTTGCCAGACCCCCGGGAGGATCCAGAAAGTAGATCCCTTAATGGGGTTCCTATAAAGTACCCTTTAGTAGTTAGGGTCCCAAATTAGGGGTTCTACTTTCTAGATCCTCCCGGGGGTCTGGGTTGCCAGATCGAAGATCTTCGGGGCGCCGCCTCAGCGAAGGCGCCCGTGGAGGGATTGGAACTTCAAGGGATCAGACCAGATGATCTTCGGGAGTGTTAGGGCTTAGGGTTTAGGGTT